AAAAAAATTTGATATTTAGAAATAGTTTTGAATAATATTCTTCGTCTGAAACAAAATAAGAATCTACTGGTGATCAACATATTGTTATTTAAAGTTGATTAAAACCTATTGTTGAAAATAAAAACGAATTCAATGAAGAAATGACGCATATTAAACTATTTTATTGATATATTATTTGTATGGCGGAATTTTCTTGTTGGTGTGGGTGTGTGGATGTGTTTTAATGATTTGCTTAAAGTGGAAATGTGAGAAATTGTTTGAAAATTCAAGTTTCTCAATTAAAATACAAGAGAAAAGCACTTTATAATCGCGATGATTAAAATTAATAATCAAAAGACATCATGCTTGCTTCTAGCTCCAATTTTCATTGTATAGGTATTCGAAAACATATCTTACTCATTCATATTGATAAAAAACTGGTCAGCGATCTGAATCGATGAAGTGTCTCCAGATATTTTTCGAGGCATAATTTTGAAATTTCTCGTCGTTTACCAAATGTATTTTTGTACTCTAACTAACAAAGCTTCTGTAGAATATAAATCATTTTAGTACATCATTAGTACGCACTAGAATTGACAAAAAATTTTGATACCAAAAGAAAGAATTTTATAATTTTTGTTTTGTCTTAAATAGTATCAGAAAACATAATGTTCCAATTCTGTTTACTTCAGCATTTCATCATACTAAAAACTGCGGTTATCATTACTCGTGATTACAAGAGCTGTAAAAAGCAACATATAAATGTACAAAATTCACAGAGCATACTTTTTTCGATAGCTTATAGATCGAAAACATTACAGCTAGTCTTGATCTGTGAAGTTTTATTTACACTAAAGTCTATGTTTACGCCAGTAATCGAAAAATGATTAGCGAATCTGTTCGTTTATTTTTATCAGCGGTAAATTTTAATCTAATCAATTTTGATAAATTAATAATATTTCTGAACTGATTGTATGATTATTAAAAAATTGCCTAAGTTTCATTTTATAAGCACATAATTGGACACTGTGTAGCCTAAGTTATGTTTACTAAAATTATTTCTGTTTGTTTATCATTTTCAAGCTTTGTCAATGGATTGACTGTTCTTTTATATTCAACATGTGCTATATAGTAATGAATCATGATGTTTCGTTTTCGAAAAATGTCTCTGACTGAATGAAATCTTCAGAGAAACATCTGATAACTCTTGTTTCCGAGAGATCTAAAAACAAAAAAACTATAAACTATGCATGAGATCTGTAGTTTTTTTTCAAACATTCGAGCCGTTACATATCTAAAGGTTTCATCATGAATGTAATCACGTCTTTGTTTATATCAATAATATTTACTAATAGTCTGCATAAAAAGAAAGAGAAGTTCGAATAAAAATCAAGATACTAAGTTGAGCATCATTCGACTTATAAAAGTTAAGACATTGAAGACGATTTGATTCTGGAAAGTTGGCGAAAATAATTTTGCAAGCGGTATAACTCAAAAGAAAACAGAAATAATAGGAAAAGTCTATATCAAAAGCATTTCAGAATATAATCGATGCCACATAAACTGATGAGATGCTATATTGTGATTCTAAAGTTATCTAAATCATATGGTACATGAACTTAATATCATTTGGCCGTTTTTGAATCTCGTTTAGTATGTTAAGACCGCATAAACATGATATAAAGAAATTCACAGTACTGCTAATCTAAGATTCGTCAAAATTTATATGAAAAGAGAATTTTTTTTATTCAAGTTCCCATACAAGGCTACGGTGAACAAAATAACGTGGCGTACTACGGTTGGAATGTAATGCTCATTCTACTGGTATAATTTTTTTTTCTGAAACTTGAAAAATGAAAGATGATCTTACGGTTACTTTTCTTTTTCATGCTAGTGTATCCAAATAATGTCGATCTTAACTAATATCATCAACGGTTCAGTCAAAAATATAGCCATGAAGGAACTCCGTCAATTGTAAGTGCTTAGGTTTTTCTTCGAAACATCATTTTCTTTTCGTAGTATTCTTGTTATTTATTATCATCATCGAATTTCAGTTGATGACATGGTGATAAACATACTAATGAATTTATCCAAATTGGAATCTTTATCGTCATAAAAATAATGCGTGATGTTGTTTCTCTGTTTTACACTTTTTTTTCTTATTTTATAATATCCTTGATACAAATGAAGCTTAACATTAATCATTATCACCTTATCGCACAATATAGTGTTCTCTCTTGTTTTTAATCAAATTTTTAAAAATTATTACTCAGAGCAAAATAGGATTTATAAAACGGGAGGTTTTTTATGTTTTAGATTGTTACAAAGAATCAATCAGTTTAAGTTAAGCTTACAGGACGACCTAAGATACTTTCAAAAATTTTTCATTAGTATTTAATATTAAAATATCCACTGTCAAGTTTTTCAAAACTGTGCCGTTGATTCGAAAAGTTCGAGGAGCAATAACCTCTACTGGTTGATAGATAATGTATCTGAATTTACATAGATTGAAAACTATATTTATTTACGATAGTTATCCGAACGAAAAAGGTTGAAAAGAGCTCGAAATAACGTGTTTAAATATGTGAAGATTTCATTATAACACTGTTCGACGAAATTTCTAATGGATTACAGTGGATAATTTATTTTTATGTTTACGCGGTTTTATTATTTTTATTCACAGTTTCATTGTTTTTATTGCCTTCCAAACTCTCGCGTCGTTAAGTTTGTACTTATTCATTTGTAGTTTTTCAACGAAATCAAATACGTTTCAATGGATTTATTTTCTTAAGCGTCATTAAATGTTTCATCTTTCGAAATAGAAGAACACGTATTCTAATGATTGCTATTTATTAACAGACACACTGCAATGGTAATTTATAGGCATGGAAACAGATCTCTGAATGGGATAAGACATAATTCTTGTTCAATAGGATTTATTTCATTTTGTTTTTCTTATGACAAGTCGGATTATGTGTTATTAAATATGAACGTTGGGTATGATAGAGGGTGTGTGTGTGAATGCTGAAGAATAGAAGATACAAACCCACATCCAGCCATACCCACACTAGTGTCCTGCGGGAACGACTTTTTTCCCTAATTTTCCCATTCCCATTCCCATGGGAATGGGAATGGGAATTCCCATTTAGACTTAGGGAATGGGAACATGGGAATGGGAACTCCCATTTAGTCTTAGGGAATGGGAACATGGGAATGGGAACAGAATTAAAAATTGACGTTCCCAAAATTCTTTCTATCTTATTTTAATACACATAAAAATATTTCTATCTGATAACTGTTTATTTTCAATAACTTTTCTTATTCATATACAATTAACAGAAACATAACAAATGTGTATCAACAAAAAATATACTATTTATTTGTTCTTAACCACATCGTAATTTAATCATCACAAATATTGGCATTGGTTAAGCAGGTGTTCCTTCGTATATGCACTATACATTCAAGCTGGTGTTCCTTTTCATTAAAAAAGTGTTCCATCGTCTAATAAGAAAATGTATAATCAACATAGTGTTCATCATATAGAGAGAATATTCCTCTTACGGTAGTGTTTCCCTCCCTTCCCCCAAATAGAAAGTAAAAAAAATTATAAATAAATATTAAGGTTATTTACAACAAAAAACAAATGATTTATCAATAATAATCTCAATATTTATTTATAATTTTTTTAATTTTCTATTTGGGTGAGGGGAGGGGAACACTTTACTATAAGAGAAACATTCTATATGATGAACACTATGTTGACTATACATTTTCTAATTAGACGATGGAACACTTTTTCAATGAAAAGGGACACCAGCTTGAATGTATATGTATAGTGCATATACGAAGGAACACCTGCTTAATCAATGCCAACAAGAACAACAAAACAGGAAAAGAAAAGAAGTCAAGCACTATGTAACAACGTCGCGATGCGCAAAACGTGATGTCTCGAGAAACTGGTATACATATATGCCATTGGCACTTTCGCATAGATGAATAGAGCCTTGGAAAACCTTATGGGAATTATGGGAATGGGAACGTGGGAATGGGAACAAAAAATTTTTTTAAGGGAATGGGAAAAAGGGAATGGGAACAAAAAATTTTTTTTAGGGAATGGGAAAAAGGGAATGGGAATAAAAATTTTTTTTTAGGGAATGGGAATACGGAATGGGAATCAGAAAAAGTCGTTCCCGCAGGACACTAACCCACACCCAAGTGTTGTTGGAATTTGTTGCATCTCAGGAAAAAGTGAGTAGTTGTGGAAAGGTTTAGTAATGAGATTCATGCTAGTGTACTGGGTGCAAAATATCAATATAAATTTCATTTCAATGGTACCTTATAGCTTTGTCTTAAGATCATTAGG